ACACTGGCAGTGGAAGAGTCCTCCAGGGACTATCTAAAATCAAACATGGCTTTTATTATTTTACTTGGATAAAACTGGAGCAAAGATTCATATTTTAGCATTGGAGTAGACTTGTAGAATTTTATGCTTCTGACACCCTTTATGCAGAAGAAACTTTCCTTCCTGACAGCAAGAATTCTTCCCCTGAATTTCAAATTATTCTACACTCACCTTGCCATTAAGCCTTTTTCTCTGTCCAGTAGTGTTTATAGGTTCTGTGCCCTAGAAATCTTACCTTTCTTCAACTTCTGTTTTCTGTCTGAATTCTTTGATTTGTCTGAATCAAACTACTAGCTGAATATTAAGGCTACTACTTCATCATCCTTGGGTGAACTCAGCTTACATCTTTTTTCTTCTTTTTTAAAAAAATCTCGGTATCAGATGTGTATTTCACTTATAAACATTTTCTTTGGGGTCTATCTGCCCTAAATAGGCCTTGTTGACCCCAAGCCACATTTCTCTTTTTTTTCTGCTTGAAGCATGCTTCCTATGATTCTTTACAGAAAAGAGATAGCTGGCATTCCTTAAACTCAATGACTAATGAATCATTGAGTTTTCAGACTCAGGCTTACCAACTCTCCCAGTTCTCCTGATGGCAATATATTCAGGTGTCCTTTTTTTCCAAAATCTATCATTGTTGATATTAGAGTGGTTTAAATATAAAGCTGCAATACCGTCAATAAATAAAATATTTACAAAGGGAAAGGTAAATTAGTTCCCTGTAAGGATCAATGAAGAAGTAGAGGTTGGGGTAGTAGTTGTCCCACAGTGTAATTAAAGACTTAAGTCTTTCATTTTACTACTGTCAGAATCTAGGAAATTCATGTTTATATTTTATATGTATATAATATCCATAAACCTGGAACACTGTGTGTCCCAAAACTTGGAGGGTCCTAACCCTGGATCTATGGATGGATTTCAGGGTAAAGTCTAGGATCTCTAGGAATGATATGTAAACATTAGTGAGGATATCCATATGCACATTTTTCTGGGAAGATAGTCTATGACTTTCATTAGAACTTCAAAGGAATCAGTGACCTCCAGAAAGGTTAATTAAGAACTGCTGTTCTGTGGTAGTCTTCCATCTTTGAGTAAATCACTTTACTTCCTACTGCTCTGATTCACAAAGTGTTTCTACATTTTCCTGCTTACTTGTTCCTTGGGTAGTAAACAATGATTACAGCTGCCCCAAAAATAAGCTTTAAAGAAATAATTCTTAACCAAAGATGTTTGTCAGATTTAATTGGGAGTGTTTTAACATCCCACACCTTTACTCTAAATCTACAGAATTAAAAAAAAAAAATCTACAGAATTAGGATTTCTGAAGATAGAACCTAGAAATATGTATTTTTTAAAAATTTCCCATAATTTTTGTATGTAATCCTAATTATGAGCCACTGATATGAAGTGTTCATATGCTTCCGAAGTGGGAATGAGGGATCATGGGAATTTGGAGTTGGAATGGGCATACATTTATGAAAGAACTGGATGAAGCGGGCCTCAGTACTCACTCTGAAATCTTAGATGTCCCTTAGTGTTGCTCCAGCAGTACACATTAGTTCAGAGCGACAGTTCCTGGGTTAGGCTAACTTAGGAGTCTCTGCATAACTTAGGAAGAATTCAGACCCTCATTCCCCAAGACATGAGTAATAGAGACCATCTGTTCTGGCACTTGAACTACAGACGCGGTAGAGCCTGTGCTTCCAGCTTGCCTGACTTGGTCTCTGGCTTTGCTTTGCAGACAGCAGCGGCCCTTCCAGCACTGTTTCCAGTGCCGGTCCTTCTTCCCCTACTGCAGTGGATGGTAACTGCCCTTTCGGCTTCAGTGATCAGCCCTCCCTAAGCTCACACGTGACTGAAGAATATCAAGACCTCAGGCTGCTCCAGGAGGCCCCTGGGAGTGGTGCACAAGAGCCGCCTTTAGAAGGGCAGCAAGAGCCTTTTGAACAAAACCAGTCCCCACAGGAACCACCTGTAGAAACCAACCAGCCATGCCAGGAGGTTGCTGAGGAAGTCAGCCAGCCATGTCAGGAGGCCCCTGACAGCAGCCAACCACGCCAGGACATCCCTGAAGAGGTCAGCCAGCCATGCCAGCAGCTCTCTGACATCCGCCAACAGTGCGAGGAGAACCGCGACGATGTTAACCAGATATGCCAGGAGGTCCCTCAGATCAGCCAACCATGCCAGGATGCCAACCAGCTATACCAGAAAATCTCCAAAAAAGCTTGCGAACTTTGCCAGGAGAACTCTGAGGAGGTCAACCAGCCATGCCAGAGGGTCCCTGTAGAGGCTGGCAGGCTGGCCCATGGGTTCCCTGTAGGGGTTGGTGGCCCGGCCCAGGAAGTCCTTGGGGAGGTTGGCAAGCCCACCCAAGAGATCCCTGAGGAGCTCAGCCAGTCATGCCAGGAGTTCTCTGTGGACATTGGCAGGCTGACCCAAGGGGCTTCTGCCATCAGTTTGTTGTCTCGGGACACACCTGAGGTTGATAACCCGCCCCTAGAGTTCCCTGGGGAGGTGGCTCTGCAGGCCCAGGAGGTCTCAGAGTGGGTGAATCAGCAGCAGTCCTATGTGGTCCCTGAGCTGATTGACCAGCTATCTGGAAAGGAAGTTCCCCAAGTCCAGTGTCCACCTAGCAATGCAAACCTTCAGAGCCAGTCTCTAGCCCCTGACCAGAATGCCCCCCTTCCACCAGCAACGTGTGATTCATCATTTTCTCATTAGTGGTGTCACACCATACCAGCCATTTGAGCTAGCAACTTGTCCTGTTGCCTAACTCACCTGCCAGCATTAAGGCCTTGAATCTCACCAGAGGTGTCTGAGGAAGCAGTCCTTTTGGCATTGAAGCACATCTGTGCCAGGGTTGGGGATGGGGAGGAGCCAATTTCATGTTCAAAGCAGCCATTGACTTCTCACCCAGCCATCAGACTTGAGTATGATTTCCTTCAAGGGTTAGACGGGTCTATCATTACCTAACATTCTCTGATCATCCCAGGAAATCCAAGACTGGTAAAGGAAATTACCACTTAACTGCTGAAGACACCATCTATGGGTGCAAAAGGGACTCCAAGGTCTCCACTTTTCTGGGAAGTATTCACAACTTTTCAAGGTACCCTTAGACCATATGTGCACTTGGGGGACACTTGTCTTTGTTACCATCCTCAGGTGGGCCCAGGATAGCTGTCTGAAATGTCTGGGAAAAGAGAGCTCCTTTCCCCAACAAACATCCATCATGACCACTAATTTTTAGATTGGGCTTATGGGTGTTTCCTTATCATCCCCAATCACCCTCTTGGCCCTAGTCCTGTTCCTCTGGGCAGTAGCTCTAGGGAAAAACAGGTATTAGATTGCTGTGAAAATTTCAGAGTAAACTACTTAAAATGCTGTGGGGTTCTTGGCTAATCTGTAAAGCTGGGCCTCCTTTTGTTGAGAAGCTGTATGGCTTAGGAGATGTTGTAGTAGAGAAAAATCAGGTTCTGTTTTAAGCAATCAGCAGAGATCAATATTGTACAGACACGAGCAAAGATTATATATATATATATATATATATTTCTGTAGTCACGCCAGGGACAGACTGGCCAAAGACCAAATACTCCAGGGTCCCCAAGAGATTTGTCCTTATATTATTATGTCTTTAGGGCCAGGTATGATTATGAAGCTTTTCCCAAAGACCTGGGGTTGGGAATGGAGATGAGTAGGTGAGGTTGGAGGGGAGGGCTGGAACATTATGAGTGCTCAATAAATAAGAAATAATAAGAATCATAGTGGTGGTGATGATGTCCTTGTGAATTCAAGAATGGTTATGAATGTAGATCAAGCATGTCTGTTGACTGAATTAATCTGAACCAGTCAGAAGCCATTGTAGTTGAGCAGAAATGGGCTATAAAAATATGGAGATCAGGCATCCCAGGAAGTCCTTATGGCCGCCAGCCCACCATCCCAAAATTTCTTAAATAAGTCATGTTACCAGGAAGAGAGGTTCTCTCTCTGTGAAGCACCAAAGGTACAATGCCTTCTCACCAGATTGTTGGAATCACTCTCATTTTAACTCTGATGCTTGGGAGTGTCACGAGGAGTTGATATATAGGGGTTATGCTCTTTCTTTACTCCCTTTATGTCTTTACACTGGGAGAGCTGGAAACACTAGGAAGGCTGGAATCTCCCCCTCCCCATGTATCCATGTATTCACACTTACAATGTGGCCTCTCCTGACATACCCAGGACTATAAAGGGTTTCACTGCAAGGGAAAATCCAACAGTTTACTTGCTGGAAATCCTGACTGCACAGGTAAAAGCTGTTTACAATCTCAACAGGCTCTGGATCTCATAGAGCCCCTCAACTCCTTTCCTCTTTGATGTTCTCCTGTGCAAGGTTCTTGGGCTTCCCTGGTGGCTCAGAGGGTAAAGCGTCTGCTTGTAATGTGGGAGACCAGGTTCTATCCCTGGATTGGGAAGATCCCCTGGAGAAGGAAATGGCAACCCACTCCAGTACTCTTGCCTGGAAAATCCCATGGAGGGAGGAGCCTGGTAGGCTACACTCCACGGAGTCGCAGAGTCAGATGCGACTGAGCGACTTCACTTCACTTTGTGCAAGGTATCTGACACTAGTTATTCAGCCCTAAGCTCTTGACCCCATGGTACGCAGTTCCTCTTCTTCAGAGACACTGCCCTCACCCCCACCCCCTCCAGCTTCTCTCTCCTCCCCCAAACCAAACATGTGTCCCTACGCTCAGTTCCTATTCCCCATCCTTGGGCACTCTCACCTGTTTTTAGAAATTATGCTGGCTTCCCGTAACTTTTTCACCCTTCACCAACCCTGTATTCTTAGGCCTGCCTGGGTCTTGGAACTGCCTCCAGTCATCAAAGGCACTGAGATAAATGACAACGCTGGTAGAAGCAGAGAGGCAGAAGCCAGGGCCCAGCAACTGAGCAATGTGTAGAGTCAGAAAAAGCCTAAGCCTCACTGGAGCATCTGTAATGAACTGGATTTATTGTTAGAGTTGGAGGCGGCTCCGTTACAGCAGCTGGGAACTAGAGCAGGGAAGAGTGGGGAGGAGCAGAGCACAGCAGCATGGGAGAGTGGGAGCTGGAAGAACACAGGCGGCTCGATTTGGTTTCCACACAGTCATTTGGCAGAGAAGCCGAGTCCTGACAGGAGCGTCTGGATTTCAGTCCCGCAGCAGTCTGGCAGAGCTCTTACTGGCTTGCTTGGGGTGAGGTCCTCTCCCGGGGTGGTATTTTCGGCCTGTTTTCATCTCCCTCAGTCAGAGTTCAGCCTTAGCTCAGCTTCCTCTCCCTCTTTCCTTCCTCCCTCTCCTTATCCAAGTCCTCTGGCATGGCCTCTGCCTCCCAGATCCTCTGTCCAAGAGTGTGGAGCTGGAAAGGCAGCCAGCGTTCCCACTTCAGCTGCAGGATGGCAGAATGGAATGTTGGGGGAGTCACACGTTGCCGGGGAGTCACACGTTGCCGGGGTGTCAAGTGTTTGGACGTCAGGCAGTGGCTTTTAACCCATTACACACCAGGCCACAGCAGGTGACCACATGCAGATAAGCCAAGCAAGTATGAGAAGGGATCAGGAGAGCTGGAATGGGCAGGTGAAAACCTCCTAAGATCAGGGAGCTTGGAAAGATTCCGCGAGTGGGGCCGGGCTCTCCTCGCTCCTTTGTGCTGCCCAGCCTGGTCTGGGCATGGTTCTGGGATGTGAATGGTATGAAGCAGGGGCTGGGAGGATAAGCTCCTTTCTTCTCCTCACCAATCTGTTGGTCAAAAAAGAGCTTCAAGTTTTGGATTGAGACATTCAGACATGGAGGGAAGCAGTGGGACAGTGTAGCAGTGGCCTACCCCCAGATCCCTGCTGGAACCCAGACTCTGACGGGGAAGGGAATGGGAGATGGACCGAAGGGTGCAGCTCTGAACACCTCACTGACAGCATCCTGCCCCCAGGTCACATAAATTACTACTGGAAGTTCTTCCATGGGATGCTAAATTAAATAGATTAAGAGATCCCTGGGGCTGGGGATATGACCTTCCTCCGTGAGGGAGGAAGCTGCTCGCTGAGGCCCATTCTCACTCTCCATCAACAGCATTGGGCAGTGCTAAGAGAGGGTGTCACTCGAGGGTCCTCAGGCATCAGATGACCTCATGTCCTAATTTTGCATCCTTTCCCTATCCTAATCCTGGTTACCTTTGGTTTGGAGACTCCTTTCAGACATGGATGAGGGGGAAGGATGACCCCTCCCATTAAGCCCAGCCTAAGTTCCCATGAGACATCCTGTCCACCCCACCCCACCCCCAACTCCCATGTCCCTCGACCCCAAAGGACTCAGCAGTAGCCATCGTCTAGGGGAGCTGGGGGAGCGGATCCTCGGGGAAGGGAGAGTGGCTCTTTCAGAACTCAATCTTGCAGGCAGGGAAGGACTCGTCCTGCATGACCACGGTGCTGCTGCTGGCCAGGACTAGAACATTCAGCTGCTGCTGCTGCTCATGGGTCTGCTGGTACCACTCACGGGTCACCTCCGTGTCATGAGTAGGGATCAGAGTCACCTGGGTGGGAGACAAGACAGCCTGAGGTGAGAATGCAGAGGGAAGGGAAGTCGGGGGATGGGCACCTGATAGTTCAGGAAGGACCAGAGCAAAGGCTCTGTCCTCCTTTCGTGAACAGAGACTGTGTTCACTGTTGCTCTGAGCAAACTCGGACCAGACCACCTCCCTGGTGTTTCCTGCCACTCACCTGAAGATTCTCCCCCCACTGGGCCTTGCCCTCCAGCAGGGCATCCAGCACAGCCCTGCTCGGCTCGCCGTTGGCAGGGTCGTTCCCACTGACCACATAGTAGGATGCACGCACTCGTCGGAAGAAGTCAAGGTCGGCAGTCTTGCCGCTGCAGTGATTTGGGATGTAGGCAAGATCCACATAGACAGGGGCACCAGAGCCACCCTTGGAACCCAAGGCCGCTGTAGAGACAACACAGGACTCATTGTAGAGGGAGAGAATTCTTTTGGCAACTGTCTTCCTCCCACTGGAGCCCCTGACCAGCCACACCCAGACCCAAAGCAGTCTCCCACTCTCGTTATACTTACTTGGTCCGGCCTTGAGTCCGTTGACTAAGCCTTTGGACATGGGGCTGTGTCCATCCTTTTCCTCTGCTGGGGTGACCTGGCTTGGAGTGCTGCGTGGCCGGGGGGGCACCCGGGAGGCTCGATCTGTAGTCCCTTTACCAGGGGTGGGTGAGCGTTTTCCCCGAAGATCCAGACGGCGGGCAGGAGACGCTGGCTTGGCCCTGCCTGGGGCCCTGCGACCAACTCTCCCCTGTGCCTTCTCCTTCTCCCGTAGCCTCTCTACCCTTCCAGACTCTGAGCTGAGCCCCTCGGGGTCAGCCATGCACACGTCAGGGCGGGGAGGGGCTGGCCGAGGGTCTGGCTGGGGGAGTGGGGGTGGGTCATGGCCGGGCCTGGGATGGTGAGTCCCACTGACCCCACCAGCTTTGTCCACAGGCAGGAAGTCCCCATCTTCATCTGAGTCGAGGGCTGCCTCAGCCGTGATGGATGGACACTCCTCAGTTTCTGGCGGAACGTCAGAATCTGACTGTGAGGAGCCTGAGTCGCTGGCTGACGTTGGGGGTGTCTCATCTGCCATGGGGCATGGGCCCCCTGTAGCCCCTGGGGCTCCCGCCCGGCGCCGCCCCCCTCTCCCTACCAGCCGCGCCTCCTCAGTTGAGGGGTCGCTGTCATCTGTGGACCGAGGCAGAGGAGGGTTCAGGAAGGAGGGGGAGAGCTCCCCGCGGTGGGCCCGGGGTTCAGCAGCACAGCCCTGGGGCCCAGCCTCCGTCTCCGGGGAGCTGCTTCTAGGCTGGTCTCCAGGGGCTGCTGCAGAACATGGCGGCTGCTCAGGGGACAGCAGCGTGTCAGGCCGGGGGCTCCTCTCGGCTCCCTCAGGCCAGGCGCCACGCTCCCAGGCAGGGCAGGCCTCAGCCTCGGCTGGGGCAGGGCCCAGGGGCTTGGGGCTGGTTTCAGTTGGACCATTGGTGGCACCATCCCCGGAGGGACCCTGGGAGGGGCTTGGCTTCTTGGCGGCCGCCCCCGAGCACTCCAGGCGACAGGGCAGGGTGCCGTCATCCATGTCCCTGGGCAGGCTCGGAGCCGGAGCTGGGGCCAAGTCCAGGGACGCTGGAGGTGCTGGGCTTAGAGGAGCGAGGTCCCAGAGGCTGTGGGCAGCAGCTTCCATTCCTGGGACCAGCTCTCCGGACCCTGGTTCTGCAGCTCCCAGACCAGGAGGGAAGCGCTCAGCCACGCTTGAAATCACAGGTGTGGTGGCCTCTGAGGAGGAGCCTTCAGATAGGGCGGGAGAGGCAGGCCTCGGCAGACTGGAGAGGAGAGGGGCGCCGGGAGATCCGGGTGACGGGAGCTGGGGCAGTGAAGAGTCCAGACTGGGGGCCTTGGTCACTTCGAGGTACTCATCATGCCGGGCTCTGGCGGGAGGTCCTGGAGCCAGAGCCAAAGCCCGGTCCCCAGAGAAGGCAAGCGACCCACAGGGTGCTGAGCGGGGTTCCGCTGGGGAGGGCAGCTGTGGAGGCGCCGGCTGCAGTGAGGAGAAGCCAAAGGCTGACGCAGGGAAGTCCAGGCTGGGTCGCGCAGGACCCAGGTGTGAGTCTGAGGAAGGGCTGGTATGTGCCTCGCTTTCGGGCCACAAGGCGGAGGGGCCAGCAGGCGTGGGGTACGGGGGACTTGGGGACTGGGCCTCTTTTTCGGGTTGCTCCCGAGCCCCCTTCTCCAGCTCCGAATCACTCAGGCTGTCATCCCAGGGACCACGGCCTGGTTCCTTGGGGGAGGGGGTTCTCCGATCTGGGCTGCAGCTCAGGATGTGACCATTCAGCGGCGGGCTTGGGCCTTGGCTCTGGGGGATAGGAGCACGGGGGGGTACCGCAGGTGGGGTGAGGCTGGGGTCCATGCCTGGCTCCGGCTCAGGCTCCTGCCTGGGGGGCACAGTGGGTCCCGCCAGAGCTGCATAGCTGAAGGCTGGAGTGTCGAATTGGAGGCGATGGGGTGAGACAGGAGATGAAAGCTCCTTCTCTGCAGGCGTGTCTCGGCCAGCAGCTTCCTCCTTGGTTGAGATGTGGGGGGGCCAGTCCCCAGCGGCTCCAAGAGGAGGCTGTCTAGTGGGGCAGGCGGGGCCCAGCCCCGTGAGCATCATCTGCTCGTAGATGTCTGCGTACTGGAAGCTCCGCTCGTCCGGATAGGGAGTGGGCTCTCTCTGCTCTGGCTCGGTCTGCTCTGGCTCCTCAGAGGCATGGCTCTCGCTGGCCTTGGGGACCTGTGAGCTCCGGGGGCTGTGGTCAGGAACCCCCGCTTCTTCTTCCCTTTCCCCTTCGGCCTTGCGGTAGTCCTTCCCTAGCGGGGAGTACGGCCCGCCTTCCAGCTCAGCTGCCCCCTCCTGCACTGCAGCCACCACACCCTCCTCCTCGGCTGTGCCCCAGGAGAAGGGCGCAGGAGTGTGTGGCTCTGGGGCAGGCGTTGGGGGAGCGGGAGCTGGGGAGAGGGGTGCAGGGGGCAGGGCTCTGTCCTTGGGCACCCATGGTGGGATGTCAGCCAGCCAGGAGCGGGTGGTGGGTTCATCCCTCACGGGTGGCAGGAGCTTAGGATCTGGGATGGGGCTCTCTTGCCCCGGGGCCGGCAGAACCCTCTGTCCAGCCATCTCCGGCGGGGAGGCCGGAGGAGAGATGATCTCAAAGGGGGAGCGGGTCAGCTTGTCCTCTTCCTCCGGTGGCAGCCCAACTGGTGACTCTGCAAGCCAGCGCTCCACCTCCAGTCCCTTCTGTGGTGCAGGCTCCTGAAAGCCCTTGAAGTCCGAGGCCCAGGGACTCTGGGGTGTGTGCTCCAAGGGGGGCACTTCCTGCTCATCATCCGGCCCCTCGTCGAGGAAGGTGCTCTCCCGCTCTTCTGTGTACCGTGGCCGGGCCCCCGGGCCCCCCAGCTCATGAGGGAACCAGACCTTCCGCTCACAGCTCAGCTCCTGCCAGTATGTGTCCTGCCCCAGGACCACATCCTCCCTGCCCCTCCAGTATGTGTCCTCCTGCTCAGGAGATGTGTCCTCCCATGTCCGCGCAGGCTCCTTCTGTTCTGCAGCTGGTTTGGTGCTGCTTGGAGATGTTTCTCGCCACTCCTGGACCACATCCTGCTCCTTCCGGTACTTCTCCTCCTGCTCCCGGGCCTTGTCCTCCTGCACTGGGCTCTCTTCCAGCCCCAGAGCTTTGCTCTTCTCCAGCACAGCGTCTTCTTTCTGTTCCACAGCCTTGACTTTTTCTGGAGATTTTTCCTCTAGGATCTTCTCCTTTGGTGCCATGGTTTTATCCTCCTGCACAGGGCTCTCCTGCTCCTGAGTTTTGTCCTTCTCTTCCAGAAACTTATCTTTTTGTTCAGCGGCCTTAATGGTTTGTTCCAGAGCTTCAGCCTTCTGTTCGAGGGCCCAGTATTTTTGTGCTAAGTCCTGGTCCTTCTCTTCTGGGGCCTTGTCCTGTTCAGGGGCTTCATCTTTCTGTTCTAAGGCCTTGCCCTTCAGTGCAGGGACTGTGTCTTCTGGAACTGTGTCTTCTGGAACTGTGTCTTTATGTTCCAAGTCTCCGATTTTTTGCTCTAAGATTTTATCTTTCTCTTCTGGGACCTTGTCCTCCTGTTCTAGGGCCTTGTCTTTTGCTTCTAAGTCTCTGTCTTTAGGTTCTAAGTCTTTGTCTTTTCCTTCCAGGGCCTGGTCCTTCTGTCCCAGGGCTGTGTCCCTGTGTTCTAAGCCTCTGTCTTCAAGCTCTAAATCTTTGTCTTTTCCTTCCAGGGCCTGGTCCTTCTGTTCCGGGGCTGTTTCCCTGTGTTCTAAGTCTCTGTCTTTAGGTTCTAAGTCTTTGTCTTTTCCTTCCGGGACTCGGTCCTTCTGTTCCGGGGCTGTTTCCCTGTGTTCTGAGTCTCTGTCTTTAGGTTCTAAGTCTTTGTCTTTTTCTTCCAGGGCCTGGTCCTTCTGTTCCGGGGCTGTTTCCCTGTGTTCTGAGTCTCTGTCTTTAGGTTCTAAGTCTTTGTCTTTTCCTTCCAGGACTCGGTCCTTCTGTTCCGGGGCTGTTTCCCTGTGTTCTGAGTCTCTGCCTGTTTGTTCCACAGCCTGACCCTGCGGTGCCCCAGCCTTGTCCTTCTCTTCCAGAACCTCATCCTTCCGACAGACGGCTGTGTCCCTCTGCTCCAGGGTTTTGTCCTGCTGCAGAAGGACTGCATCCACGGGCTCGGGTCCCTTCTCCTTCTGCTCTGGGGGTCTGTCTTTCAACTGTGGGACTTTGCCTTCCCACTCCATGACGATATCCTCCATGGCAGGGCTTGGCAAGGACTCAGGGCTCTTGGTGAGGGAGCTATCAGGTGTGAGAATGTGTTCACCCAGGCTTGTGATCACTCCGGGTGAGCGCCTTCCATCTCCTAGCAGCACAGTGGGAGAGAAGGAACTGGGGGGTAATTTTCCATCAGGGCTCTCATCTGTGATGTCTGCCCGTGCGGAATATCCACTGGTCCCATCTGTGGGAGGTGACACTGTGGCTGCCCGGGCTTCTGGAATAGACACAGGGGCTAGGTGGCAAGCGGTGTCCTCAGCCTGCATCAGAGACCCTTTTTCTTCCTTTCCAAGGCTTAGTTCCCCAAACTGGAGGGTGCCAAGGCTTTCTGGAGACAGCTGCTTGGAAGAGATGTCAAGCGAGGTCTCTTTGCTGGGACTCTCCTCTGAGAGAGAGAGTGACCGGGTGTCTTCTGGAGATCCCTGCGGCCATAGGTCTGTGTGGAGGCGCTGCTCCATCAGGCCACCAGGAGACCTCGGGGTGGCATCTTGCTTTTTGGCAGCGTCTGGGGAGACCATGCTGAGGACAGAGAGGGACTCTGCCTCTTCAGGGGAGAGGCCTCGGTCAGGAATTTGGAGCACCTCCTCTTTCTGAGGTTCCCCAAGTTCTTGGAGTGAGGTTCTGAAGTCTCCGGGTAGGGCTTCTGTTTCTGGAACTGGGCCTGCAGGCTCTCCTGCCTCCACAGTCTCGAGGACGATGGCTTTGTCCTGTTCTGGCAGCAGCTGGATGGTGCAGCCGGCCTGTCCCCCAGCTAGGCTGATGGGTACCTCCTGGGCCTGGGGGCTCGTGGGAGGAGGCGCCTTCCCTTCCTCCTCCAGTGCGCCCTCGTCAGGCCCTGGCTTGGCGGTCTCCTCTGCAGCAACTTCCTTGCCCACACCTGGGATGCTCTTAGTATCTCCCCAGGAGTCTGCTTCCTGAAAGTCTTGGGGCTCAGACTTTTCCTCCACTGGGGACTGATGAAAGGGCGTGTGGGTGGCACTGGGTGGGCCAGACGGTGGCGGAGAGGCCATCTTCACTGTGCTGTCATCCGGGCTGAGGCAGCGCTCCTCCGCCTCTCCAAGGGCTGGTTCCCCTGGGTGGAGGGCGTGCCCAGGGGCAGCAAACATCGGGGGTCCATACTGACCATGCAGTTTCTCCGACATCTGTACGTTGGCGGTCTCCTCCTCTTCCTCCTCCACGGCCCTCTCTCCAGACAGGCCTCTCCCTACCATCTCTCCTCTCTTCTCTGACTCCCCGGTCACAGAGAAGTCGTCATAGGGTGGAGACTTGAAGCCCTTGTCTTCTTCCAGCGAGGAGGTGGGTGAGATGGTGCCGGCCGACGGCACGTAGTCCAGGCCTTGAGTGGCTTCAGTGCGGGACGAGGGGATGCTCGTGACCGTGTCCAGCAGCAGGGAGCTCTTGCCCGTCTCCTCTGTCTGTGGGGCCGTGAGTGAAGCCACGGACTGGTCCTCGGCCACGGACGTGGCAAAGGAAGAGAGCTTGTCACACTCGGTGATCGAGGTGGCCGAGGACACGTGCTCCTCTTCCGCCAGAGGGGCGGCCACCATGTTGGGGGGGTAGGTGAGTTCCGTCTCGGGTGCTCCGTAGGCCTTGCTGGCGGTGGCGGGAACAGCGCTGTCAGCAGGCTGGCTGGCCTCAAAGGGGCCGGGACCTTCAGGCCCAGGGAGGTCATAGGTTCCTGTCGGAAACCTAGGTGGGGCCGCGCGCTCCTCGGGCTCGTCGTGGATCTCTTCATCCGAGATGGTCTGCTCCGTCTCGGAGTAGCCAGGGATCGTCTCGTCCTGGATGTAAGACACGTGCTCGGTGGCTCCTGCCGGGGTGGCCAGGCTGCTCAGGAATGACGAGGTCTCCTTCTCCGGGGCCTTGCCTTGGAGTCCCGGTTCCCGGCCGCCGAGAGCCTCCTTGCCCCTGGGCGTCACCTTCAAGGCTTCTTGCATGTGCTTTTGGTAAAAACCCTCCGCCTTTGTCTCCTCCTCTTCCTCCTCATCGGAAGGGGGCAGCTCCTCCATCTCCTCTAACTCGGCCTTCTCTATCACATCTTCCTTTACCTCAGGTTCACTTTCCTCTCGGGCTTCTGTTCCGTCAGGGACCCCCTCGGCTTCCTTTGGCTTCTTTTCCTCCCAGGTATCTTTCTCTTCCTCTGTTTCTGCCCCAGAGTCCGGGCCTCTGTCCTTGCCGCCTCGTTCCTCAGGGACGTCTGGGACGACCTCTTTCTCCTTCACCACAGGCACTTCTGCTTCCTGCCCAGGGACAGAGGGTGGTGCCACCTGGGCCGCTGTGCTCGGGAGTCCCTCCTCGGCAGTGTCCAGGGGGAGCGGTTTCTCGTCTAGTCTTGCGTCCCTTTGTTCGGTCAGCAACTCCCTCTCCTCACGTTTCAACTCCTCAAAGTCCTGTGTGAGGTCCTCTGGTGAAGACAAGGCCAGCTCCCTTGCTGGGAGGGGTGCGGCCCCCTTCTGGGCCGGGGGTGTCCGGGGCTCAGAGGACAGCTCCTTGTCCCCACGGGTAGCCCGGCTCTTGTCCGTCTTGACTCTGCCGGGGGCCTTGGCTTTGTAGAGGGTCTTCCGCACCTCAGGGGTAAAGGGCTTCAGGTCTGGCTTGGAAATCTTTTTGACCTCAGGTTTGGTGTCTTTCTTCTTCTCCTCCTTCTTGGCATCCTTCTTTTCCTCCTTCCTTCCTTCATCCTTCTTGAGCTCCTTCCTCTCCTTTTTGATCTCTTTTTTCTCTTTGTCTTTTTTCTCTTCCAGCTTTGATATCTTTTCTTTCAGGTGCTTCTTCCCCACTTTGTCTTTGATCAGCTTTCGCTTCTCTGCCTTCAGTGCCTCGCTTGTCTCTGTCTTCACCCTCTCAGGCTTGGCGGGCTTCTCTGGGGGCTTCTCAGAGGACTCTTTTGCCTTCTTTTCAGTCTTGGCTAACTCTTTGGCCAGTTCTGAGCGAGCCTCCTTGGCTCCCTCTTCGGCCACCTCCTCCCGTTTGGCTAGTTTTCCCACGGGTGTCTTGGTCGTGGCCTTGAGGCTCTCTTTGCTGTCAGCCCGCTGTTTGATTTTGCTGGGTTTGAGGTTGGCAGGCACAGCCCCAGTGGCCAGGTCCTTCTGTGTGGCAACGGGGTAGCGCAGGAAGTCCAGGTGTCGAAGCTTTTCCAGGCCCTCCAAGATTTTGTTCTGGGGGGCATTCCCTGGGAAAAGGACGCGCACGATCTTCTCAGTGGGGTTGGCTGGCAACCAGACCACCAGAGCGGTGATAGAGGTCAGGTAGGGCACCGAGATCTCAGCCTCCTTCCCATTAGCCAGCACAATGCCTGTCTTGGCTTTACTGTTGCCCGCCCACTTTTGCATGAGGAACTGCATCTCCTTGCTGTCCTTGACAGGGTTGAGGACGTACATGTCCAGGCGGCCCACACCCATCTTGTGGAAGAGGGTGAGAGGCTCTATGGTGTTGCTGACCACGCGATACAGGGGCTCGGCCTGGATGCCCAGGCGGTTTAAGTGCTGCAGAGTGAGGCAGGCCTCCTCAATGCTGCGCTTGGCCTTCCGCGAGGCATCCGGCAGCCTCAGCTTATCGGGCACGTTGAAGAAGACAACCCCCAGCTCGGGGGAGATGAGGTTCTTCACCCAGTCGCTGTAGCTGCTGGAGCCCTGGGACTGCTCCTCCTCCAGTTCTGCTACTTTGCGCTGCAGAAGCCCGTTGATGCCTGGCAGGTTGTCGGCCCCGATGTGGGTGAGCAGCACCGAGTCGATGCGGTCCAGGTGCCGCACCAGCTTCCAGAAGCAGGACTTGCGGTCAGAGCCACCATCCACCAGGATGTTGAAACCATTAACGGCAAAGAGGGCTGAGTCCCCGCGACCGCCGGGGAAGATGTAACAGCAAGGCTTGGAGAGCTTGAGGAAGCCCCCTGAGGTGGGGGGCTCCAGTAGGTCGAAGGGGGACGGCACGTCCACGGTCTCAGAGACGTACTCAGAGAATTCAGCCACGCCATCCATGGTGGGCAGTGTGGGCTCAGGGTTTAGCCGGAGGTGCAGGGTCTCTTGGGAACTAGCTAGTCCCAGGTGGCTCCAGTCACCCTCCCCTAAGCAGGACACGGTGAGGAAAGCCTGGATCCCAGGGTCTCTGTTGCTGAGCAGCTGGGCAATCTGGAGGAATGGGAGACAAAAGGCCTGATCAGGTCACTGGGGTTGTCTCAACCCGACTCAGATTCAACCTGCTAGTCTTCTTCTCTCTCCGAGGTTATCTCCTACCATTCTGCCAGCATCCCCGGTGGTCAAGGGCCATAGGATTTTCCCTTCCTTGGATCCCTCCCCATAGCTCTAGTCCCACCCCGTGTTCTGTTCCTCCTGGACACTGGGACATGGGACTCACCTCTGGGTTGTGAAGGACCTGGGCAAAGTTTTGATAGGAGTAAGTGCCACTCTGTAGGATGAGGTCTCCCCCAGGCTCTAAACTCTGCCCACTCAAGATCAGTAGTTTGTGAGCTGATGGGCTGCTAAGGAGGTGGTGAACCTACAGCAGAAGGAGAGGGTTGGTCACAGATGGAAGAAGCCCAGGAAAGGGCATTGACAGTTCCAGGGCCCCCTCAGGAAGGCAACGACATGCCCCCCCACTGGGAGCCCCACAGCACCTCCAGGTGGGGCTGGGATTGTGAGGCCGCTTAGATGGCAGAGAGCGAGGTTCACAGCCAAGCCTGGGAGTTCTTGGCACTGACTGGGGTGGGTTCTGGCGCTTTCAGCAGGCCCAGTGTGGCTCAGGCCCTGGCCTTACCTCAGAGCTGATGCTGTCGGCACTGGGGTTTACGAGGATGATGGTCTCTAGGATCTCACTCTGGTGGCAGAGGGTCCTCTGGCCTGAGGGAGAGATGTAGGAATTTGTATTGAGGGAAGTGGGTAGAGACTAAAGTGGAGAGGCCTTGTGTAGGGCAGGAGAGGAAAAACTGCACTATCAGAAAATGGGGCTGGGGGAAGGAGTAGCCTGGTTCTCCTTGATCCAGCCACTTTGGAACCTGCTGAGTAAGGTCTGGGAACTGGCTCCGGCTGCAGCCCTTCCCTTCCAGGGTTTCCTCCTCCCGCACTGGCTGTCTGCTCCCTCCCCTCATCTACACCCCCTCTGCCTGGAACTCCCGCCTCAGGCTGCCCTGCTGACAAGAAGCTTTTGTCCCTCTCAGTCGCTCCGGAGCTCTAAGCTCCTGGTGCTGCCTGGGGATGGGGGCCTCAGCTGGAGGAGGGGCTTCTGCGACGACGATCCTCACTCAGCTCTCTGCTCACTAGCTTGCCTCTGCCCAGGGCTTTCTTGCCAGAGTGCCTGGAAATAAGGAGACGGCAGTGGGTACGAACTCATCCTCCTTTCAAACTGCCATCCGAGGCCCGAAGTCCCATTCCAAAGGACTCAGAGCAGTCTGAGCTATCTAAACCCTAGGGAGTTACAATGCAGAGGAGAAACAGGACCACTAAATCTGTTTTCTGGTTCCTTGGAGGCCGAGCCTGCGCTTGCAAACACACACAGTCATCCTGTTCCCACCACGAAAGGTTTCACGGCCTGTCTCCCACCTCAGCTCCATGTCCCCAGGCTCCTGGTTCACTGCCCACAACCCGACCTCTCCGAGAGGACGACAGTTTCTCCTCTCATTCTTGCGCCTCTCCTATGGACCTTCTGTCATAGGGAGGGGAGTCTGGAGTGCACAGAGAAACAGTTAAGATAGGAGAGGTTCAGAGTGTTCCCCAGGCTACGAGGGTGGGGTGGGGAGGGCAGCATACACCGTCAAATCCCCTCTCTATGTCCCTAATCCAGACTCACATGAAACACCAAGCAATGCAGCAAAGAAAGTGCCAGGTTAGAGAGGAGATCCCGAAGAAGGGTGCTGCCAGCCCTGGCTCCTCCTGCCCTCACCGACTGAATAGGTGGTCGGTGTGGACGTGGGCTGTCTGGAGGATTCTGGTGGGAGGACTCATAACCTGTCCCCCAGACCCTCTTCTGTGACCCAGCACTCTCTCCTCTTTCTGGGGCTCAGACAAGAGGACCCTGGGGCCAGGGCCTTTGTTAAACGGAAGAGCGATCGTGCCAGGATCGGGCAGATCTGGCAGCTGCAGGGAAATGAACTACCGATGGTGTCGGAAGACCAAGGCCCACGCAGGGTGGGCGGGGCCCATGCGGAGTTCAAGGGTTCTCTTCTATTAACTTGGGAATTGAGGGACACTTCGAGGTCAGTTAAGAGGATGAGAACCACCTCGGAGTCACGTAGGGGCAGGGCTTGGACAGGTGAGGGATGACGGACTTAGAGGGTCCGGGAGCAGCCAGTCCTAGGCGAGCTCTCAAGTAGTTTAGATTTTGAAGGGCAGTTCAACCACCTCCCTTGCCCCCAGCACAAATGCCCAAGGTCAACACATCTGAGTTAGGAGGGTCAGAAAAGGAAAAATCTTGGGATACAGTCCAATTTGCTTTCTCTCCACTACCTCTGTTCCCCCAGTCTGCCATCGCCCCCCACCCCGGCCCCCTAGACTGGTTTATAACCACCAATTCTGGTCTTGGCATAAGACCCTATGGCTCACCCCTGGGCGCTCCGGCTGTGACTGGCCACTACTACATGGTTTCTATCCCGCGCCCCTCCCCGAAAAGAAGGGAGGAAGCCCTCTGCCTCTCCTCTGCTCCCCTCGCAATCCCACTGAAGGCCACGGACTTGTTTTTCTGCTTTCTTCGGAGAGGACACCTTTGAGGCAGGGGCACATCCCCAGGCCAGGGATGGGGTTAGCGGGGGGGCGGGGGGTGGCCGAGCCGGGGAGGCCGGGAGGGCAGGTGTCTCCGCAGTGAGGCGGCGGGAGGGGGCCGGGCAGCTGCAGTGTGCCGCAGTGTGTGAGTGTGCGCGCTGAGCTCCGGCTCCGGCTCCGCCCCCGCCCCCACCCCAGCATGACAAGTCATTTTCTTGGCTGCCTCTGCATGGGGGGTGGGGAGGAAAAGGGGGGGATGCAGAGAGGGAGAAGAAACGGGCTCCTCTGTTCGGAGCCCCCATCTTGGGAAGAGAAGCGGAGATGGGGGTTGGGGGTGGGGCCGCGACTGGGAGCCTGCGGGGTTGACAGCACTGGGAATGCGGGGCAGCTGCTGGGGAGCGAGCGTTCCCCATCTCCCGGGCGGCCTCTCCATCCCCGGAGGCAGCCAGAAAGAGGGGGCTTCGAGTCCAAGTTTCAAGCTCGCTGGTTGCCGGGAATGGGTGTGGGGAGCACACCGCACACCCGCTGGTCTGTGAGGAGGCGCGTGCCACGTCTTAAACGACCCTTTCCTCCCTTCTTTTCCAAACTGTCCCCCACCTTCCCTTACTTGGCAAAAACTCGCGGTCCCGTTCACCCCCCTGCATCGGAGCAGCTGAGCAATCCAGCAGCTGACACCCAGAGACCCTCCCATTCGATGCATTCCCACAACATCCGCCTTTCTCCCTAATACTTCTGCCCCTACCAGAGACACAGCCCCGAACTCCGTCTGAGCCCCAGGCCGCCCCAGGCCGCCGGGCTGAGCCGGTGACACCGCCCTCTGCGGCTGCCCCTGGGCGGCTGCTCCCAGCTCAGCCCAGTCCGCGCGGTGGCTTGTCACAGTGCCGGCCCCACTGGCCTCCGCTTGGTTCTGGGTCCAGGCTGGCCCCACAGTCAGTTCATCTTCTCGGCAGCCCACCCTGCCCACCCCCGCCAGGCTAGTTCCAGACACAGCAGATTAGGTTATTAACTCCCTTCCCGTTACCCGCATCCCACCTCCCCATCACAGCATCCCCCACGATCCGTGCCAAGTCCTTTGGCCCGGTTGGGTTCTTACCGGGGATGTGGGAGGGAGACCCTCATGGAGGCTGCTGCTCCGGCCTCAGCCGGCAGCTTCAGAGAAGAGTCTGCGGCACTGGGGTGGGAGTGGGGTGGGGGGTGGGGGGGCGCTTGATGGTGAGGGCGGCGCCAGGGCGGGGAAGAGGGGCTGGTCCATGACGAGGCTCTAGAGACTTAACTGTTTCTCTGCCTTCACAGTGTCAGCGCTCTAGTGCTTCTGCTTGGCTGGGGGCTGAGTCGCCGTCTAGCAGCTCAAAGTGTCAGGGTGGTCTCCAGTGGCCTACGGGGTCCTTCTCCCCCAACCCTGCTTAGTTAAGATACATTCTTTTCGCATCAGCCAAAGACCCAAACTCTGCACTCCACATTGCAGGGGATATAGGAGGCTGGGCCCTCCCCTTTCTCTGAGGAACCATCTGCTGCCTCTCCCCTCAGACTGGGGGAATGACCTTCAGTTCCTGGAGGAGCAGGAGACAAAGAGGCTGGGGGCCTCAAAGCTTGGGGTAGGGGTGAAAGGACTCCTTGAGAAGGCTGGGGTGACAGAAAGGAGGCAGCTGCGCTGAGTTCTGCAGTCTTCTGAGCCACAGCTGTAGACACGGGGGGAGGGAATATGGCAGAAAGAAGGCATTTTAGGCTGGGGGGTAGTTTGAGATTCTGGAGTGGACGCACAGCCCCTAGTCCACGTCTAGCCCGTCTGGGGTGGGGCACAGGGGCCCCAAGACTGCCTACTGTTCTGTGCCAATGCAGCACAGCACTGCCACCACACAGGCACTGATATTTGGAATTCTTGTTCTCTGGGTATGAAGAGGCATTTTCTGAGGTTTCAGGGCACATTCTACCTTTCAGTGAAATAGTTAAAGGGAGGAGATCAGCAGGGCCCCGGGCCTATAAGAGTTTCTTTCTATAGACCAATTATTAAATGCCACATAAAGTACTCTTTGGACTAAAAAGATCTTATAATGACTTTGTAGGGTGTTGGGTCCCTGTTCTTGTCTCTGTACTTTGCTCTGTCTCTCTGATGTCTTCATTTTATAGGGTCTTAATCCTTTTAACATTGGTCCTGTTTCCCTTAGTCTCTTCTGTCTCAGATTTGGTGACACGTGCTCTAGGACCCAAAGAGAGGATCTAGGGAGCTCTAGCGCTGAGTTCCAACCGCTGATGCTCAAGTCCCTGCAGGGTCCTTCCCCGCTCTCTTCCCCCCCCATCAACCCTCCCCAGTCCTGGGCAATTCCTACTGCTTCCTCCCAATCACATCCACCCACTCTTACCCTAGCACCGGCTCCACCCTTGCCCCTGACTGCCAAGAGCTGCTTTTGAAGGTCAGAGAAGCCAAAATAGTCTCTGCTCTCAGTATCCCCATCCCCCGTAAACTGCGAGGAGAGGAGGAGCTGAGTCACCAATAGGGGAGGGGGGACTAAAGAGGGGGAGGAATCTTTGCTCAGATCCGGGGATGCAAAGCAGTAACATGGCAACAGCCCCATTTGGATAGAGGAGGCCCTCTGCAGAGACGTACAACACAAACCAGGCTGAGTGCCGAGCATCACAAAGGGAAGACACTTCCTTTCCGCAACCTCATAGTTCTTATTTTCTCCTACCTGGAACCTTCTCTCTCCTCCCTGCTTTCTAGAGCTCTCTGGAGTGTGCTAAGAGGGAAACTTGAGTAGACATGTGGTTTGAGAACAAAATAACATTTCCCAGCCCACTGCAGAGCCCACCCTTATTCTCAGCTGTCACCCCCCAAAGGCCACACCCTGGGCGAGATTCCAGCTCACAATGGAGTTTTCCTTCAGCCCTCACCCTCTGAACAGCCTACCCACCACAACCACACCTCCATCCGCTGTGTTCCTTGGCTCTGCTGCAATGAAATGGTGAGGAGCCAAGGAAGAGAGGCCTGAGCTCAGACACAAAGAGAGATCAGAAGTCCTGGATCTGAGATCTGACTGCCATTTTACTAATCATGTTTTTAAGCAAGCCACGTAAGGTTTCTGAAAGATTACTCCCTGAATTACAAAATGAGTATAATATTAGTACCATCCTCTAATAACGCCACAAGGAGTAAATGACATTAAAAGATGAAAAAGTAAAAAAAAAAAAAAAAAAGATGAAAAAGTGCTTCATTCCTAGAACCTTAAACCCATAATGCACAAATGCCACTAGAAGTCTGTCTCCCTCTTGTGGAAGATTTATGAGAGGTTACCTAGGTAATCAGGAACTCCTAAACCAGAATATCTCAACTCTAGGGTAACTTAGCTCCCAGGTAAAGCCATGACTCAAAGTGCCTGTCAGAAAGGACCTCACGTACTCTTCATGTCCCTCCTTTCTCATTTTTGACAGCAGTGCAAACCCCAATTCTAGGGGCCAATGAGCTGCTGTATTAATTCAGAACAGTCTTCATGTTTGCAGAAGTAACAGAACTAACACTTCCTGAGCACATCAGTGGTGATGCAGCATCAGACAGAAGGCTTCCAAACTGGTCCTTCAGCCTGTGTCTTTTTTAGTCCCAGAATATCAATCATGAATTATAAATTATGAAACCCTCTTCCTTTCCTATATGTGCTCAATAGTAGAAGTAGTGTCACAGTGTTATTTAAGCTCAGTTTCCCACTGTTCTAATTGTTTTTGGGTTTGCTTTAAAATGCTTGGAAACTCCAGAGTTGTTTTTTTTTTTTTTTTGCAGGAGTTAGAAAGGAAGCCTCCAAGTTACCATTGGAGACCAAAGTGGTGCAAAATTCACCTTGGAAAGCCTTTACCACATTTGACCACTAGAAGGAGCTGGGCCACTGACTCTCCATCAAAGGGTCCCCTTCGAGTGTGAGTGTGTGTGTGTGTGTGTGTGTGTGTGTGTGTAAGGGGTGGTGGCAGGAATAATTGTACTCTCCCTGTGTGTGTCTGTGTGTGTAAGGGGTGGTGGCAGGAATGATTGTACTCTCCCTAGGGCTTGAGGAGAGGTGAGAGAGATGGTGGCCCAGCCTGGGGGATGGGCAGAAAAGATAAAATCCTAAGGTACTAGCATATGCCATGGAGTTCATCCCAGCAGCCTGGTTCCCTTGGCTTCCCTACTAATGGAAGCTGAAGGGAGGGGCAGTGTCTGCAGCTGCTCTGGGCCGACTGTTTTTTGTGGGGACAGCTGAAAGAGGAGCCAATAGGGGTGGGGCTGTGGCTGTCTTGAGCCATGTGGGTTTTTCCAGGAAATTATCCACTATTCTCCAGGGACATAGACAGGCCACCATGAAAAATGTCCAAGCCTAAAAATATTCAGAAGTAAGCCCTGATATTGGGTATAATTGTCCTAAGTTCCTTGAGGACACCATGGTAAAACTCTTTGATTGAAAAGAGCTGGTAGGTGTTTGTGTATCAGTCTGAGAGGTCCCTGAGAGGAACTGTGCATCTCCCTGTAAGTATTTTCCCAAGCATCCCCAAATCTTCATCTGAAGAATGGCTAAGTTTTTTGGTTCAAGTTCTGTTCATTCTTACATCATTCCAGAAAGCATCCTTCTCTTACACCCATGTCCAAGACAAGGTTCAAGAATTCAGCGTGAATTAATAACATCAGCAGATACTTCCCAAACTTCAATTGAGTCATTAATTTCATCTGCTGTCATCCCTTTCTCCAGCCTTGCACCAAAGCTCCTAGGATTAATAAAGTGGTAAAACTGTCGATTTTCAAATCGTTAGAGCTAATGAAGGAAGCCATGACATAAGTATACTAAACAGAAGGAAGTCTCAAAACAGTGACTGGTTAGCTTCATAGGAAGCCAGTCACATCAAGAAGATGCCAGCCTCACATTTTTGAAATGTTGCACATAGTTCTAAGATAATATAGCATTAGTCACATTAAACTTGTCTTCTCTCTCCAGGAGCAGCTCTAGAGGAATAGGTGATCAGGGCAATGACCAACGATGTGGCAGTTAGCAGGAGGAGCAGAAAAAGAAGGGGAAGTGACTGCCTAATATAATGGATAACTGAGAATCATCTGCATAAGATACAAATTCAATCATTTGATGGTAAGGACTGTTGAATTGGGTGGATTTACATTCCATAGAGACACTGGTGTATGAATTGTTTTGCCGACATTTACCAATAACATGACCAGATGCCCAAGCATTTTTATAATGGGATGTAGAGCTTTCTGCAAGTCTTTCCATAGATACTGTCATGGAATAATAGCTTCTAAAATGTTACTTTTCTCAAATTCCTGACCATTTCTCCCACACAGCAGAATGGGAAACTGCATCCTGCAAACTTTGATCTCAGAGCCAAATCTCAAACTATGGCTAGCTCTTTCAGCAGTGAACCCAGGAAACCCTGCTTCCACTTTGCATTTAATGGTGCTCATCAGCCTTTGGGTCAAGGTTTCTGCTCTGTTCTGAACATCTGTTCACTGAGCCAAAGGAGGAACCAGAAACCCTAGAGGCTGGAGGATAGGCTATGCAGCCTGAGGGAGAGTGTTAATCACTCAAGAGGTACCTCATTCCCTTAGTGCACATTGGCTGTCCATAAACCACCCCCTTCTCGGGTAGAAATTACATTCTCTAGGCTTTCTTCACCATCATGTCTGTGAAGTGACCTGGGTATGTGGAGATTGCTATGGAGCCCTACAACATTCCCCTCAGGAGCCCCTCCCTTCTCCCCAACCCAAACTTCCCACAAGGTCAGTTCTGCCAGAGAGACTGGACCTCTGCTCTTCCGTGACCATCCCTCAACCACAGCACTGAGACAAATGACACTAGTCCTAACCTTTGACCTCTGAAGAGAAGTGAGCTAGATGCCGGGTAATGAAGAGTCTCAATTGTTGGTTCAAGTCAATGGATGATAAATCAATGTTCCAGGAGAGAATGCCTGTGAGAGAAAAAGAAACAAAGAGGGACCTAGATAAGGTCAGAGGGACTGGCCTTCGGGGAGCATTTCCAAGCTCACAGAAGGGGTAAAGAGAGGGAGGGGATAAGGATGGTTGCCATGATCAGCCTCACTAATGTATTTAAGAAAGGTGGCCAGTCCTATGTCTAGCTCCCATCCTGTACCTTTCTTGGACTTTGCTTGAGCTAGGGGAAGGAGGGCAGAGTTTAGGCTAAATTTGGTCATTGGTGAATTTTTATGTAGGAATTTCCTTGCAGAGTTGCCCAGTTGTGATAGAAGTGACACCCAAGGGCCCATTCCCAGATACTAGGGGCTGTCTTCCCAATACAGCTAAGCAGGATCCTGGACTTTCCTCCTGTGGCCCCCTCCTCGCCGCCACTCCTCCGTGGCTTGCTTCCACCCGCAGGTGGCTCCGCAGCACTGCGCCACAGGCAGTGCAGGGCTGAAGAGCTTGTGGCCACAAAGGTCACTCTTTCAGATTGGCCGCTAGCACTGGGATATTTGAGATCTGTCTGCAGCATTCAGAAAGCATACTGTGCCTGTTCAGGAACCCTAAAGAAGAAACTAAGGTAGGGACATGGACTCTTCAGGGGATGGTGAGGACTTTCAGGACCTCTGGCCCAAGACACTGCGGGGGAGAGGGGTATAACCAGAGGGCATCCCCACCGAGGCAGTGCCAGCTCCCCCACCCTTACCCTCACCCCCTGCCTCAGGGAGATTGCAGAACGCCGTGGGGTGTGAGGGAAGGATGGGGTTGTGAGATGTTGGCAGTTTGGGAGGATACGAACACGTGACATAGAAGATGCAGGTGACAGGGGCTGATGATTCAGATTAACAGGGCGCGCAGATTTCAGGAAATTCACACTGGGGATAGGGGATGCAGACGGCAGAGAAGCACGGGATGGAGGATGTCCGGAGCGCAGCCAGGACAGCAGCTCACCTTGTTCAAGGTGGGCCCGAACGGCCCTCAGCTGACTCTCTGTAGCGATATCGCCGATCACGATGAGCAAAGAGTGCTTCCTCAGGTCCCAGCGTGCCGCCGCCACCACGGCTCCGGCCTCGCGCAGCGGCTCCGCGGGGTTCTGAGCCGGCGGGGAGCCGGGGCTGCGGAGCCCTGGCCCGGGACTTGTCTCCATGGCAACGTCGCGAGGCCGCCCGGGCCCAGCCTCGGTCTCCATGGAAACTCCGTTGGCGCGCTAGGCCGGCCGCGTCCGCTGCGGGGAGAGTGCGCGCGGTTCTTAAAGGCCGGCAGCAGAAGCCGCTCATTGGCTTCTGCCTGTCAGGGGGCGGAGCACTGGCGCCGCAGGGGCGGGGCTGCGGCCGAGACGCTCCAGCTCTGCGGAGTCGCTGGGCGTGGGGGGCGGGTACCGAGGTTGGCGGGGGGGTGGCTTTCCCACTCCGTCATCACTCGTTTTCCAGAGGGAGCTGATACTCGGACTAAAGTAGGGGTGGGGGCTCTGCGGACCGGGTGGAGGGGCGAGTTTGTTGCTTCCGCGCCAGAAGAAGCTTCTAGGTAGTCTGTTTCCCGGATAAGTGCTGTCTGGCAATTCCGCAGCCTCGCCCGTACTGAGGGGAGCCATCTTGTCTCTCTCTGCTTCCGAGTTTGGTGTATCCTTCAGTCGGTGTGTCTGTAGTATCATTGTTTGGAGGTTGTTTCCCCACTGCCTGCCAGGGTTCTAGATTCCGTCCTCGGTTTTTCTGTCCTCATTGCCCCAGGCCCTGGGTGTGAGCTCTGGAAGGCTGTGCAGTATCGGGACGGACAGAATGACCTTCCGGCCCTGAGTCCCTGGTGAGTTGCTATTCCGAAGATAGTGGTTGGCTTGTCTCCATCTCTACTGAGTGCAGTGAACTCAGACTGCAGCAAGGGGGGTTTGAGTAAAACCCAGGAAAAGTCCTTCCCAACTACTTGTGACACAGTGAATTGGGTAACCTTGGAGACAATGGTATTACCTCCCCCAGGGAATTCTCAAAACAGAAGGGACAATCTTTGAACAAGGGAAGAGGTTGGTCCTTCAAAAAAAAAAAGAAGAACCAAAACCAAAGGATGTGAAAGAGGGCTAAGGAGGCTGGCACTGTTTTATGATTGCCTGGAACATCCTGTGAAAATGGTGTGGTGCTGAAAGCCTAATCCACCCCCCACCCCCTCCTTTCCTCAGCCTGTCTCCACCACCTACTCTGCACGCCTGTATCTTCTTTTACCCAGGATACTGAGTCATTCTGTATGTGTATCATCACACAGAGCAGAGCTTGCCTTCCGCCCTAGGACTCCAGCAGTACTTTTGTGGGTTCTCTGTGCCGTACACTCTCCGGATGGTGCAGGGAAGAAAGAAGCACAGTACCTGATTCAGCACGGCTCTCTGTGAGCCACCTTCTGATTCACCTCCTCTCGGGAGGCCGTGAGGAGGGTTGGACAGTGTCTGCATTTTAAGTACCTCACAGTAGCCCTGGTTCTTGGCCATGGAGCATTTGTTTAGCAAAACATCCATCCTGCAATTTGGATATGGCCCTATCTGAAACTAACATAATGTTATATGTCAGTTACACTTCAAATTTAAAAAAAAAAAAAAAATGGACAGGGCCCTGAAAATCCTTTGTGTAACAAATAATACCGGTGGCATATAAAATGGTGGGGATGCCTCACCCTATATGACACATGAGACAGTGCTCTGCTCTACCCACCCACCCCCCATTTGCAGACCTCAATCTGGCAAAGAGCACAAATGGATGTGCAAGCCTCCCCTTTTCTGCAATCAGAAAAGAGTGCCACATGGAGGCAGAGCCAGAATAGGTTGTAGGGAGAGGAAGGGGACAGTTACCATAGCAACTGTAGAGATGAGGCCTTTAGCTAGCACAGGGCCTCAGTATAACGGTCATCTGCAGTTAACCACAGGCTCTGCTTTCATCAATTTTGACAAAGATTAGACGATAGATCTGAATTCTGTAAGGAAGGACCGCACACTGATCAGATGATAGAGGCAGCAGTTTAGGCCTGTGATGTCAGACCCTGCTAGAATTGGCTTTTTTATTAATTAGAACTGTAAATACAGACTGGTAAAGGAAAGCGAAACTGTTAGTCGCTCAGTTGTGTCCTGACCCCATAGACTATAGCCTGCCAGGCTCCTCTGTCCATGGGATTCTCCAGGCAGGAATACTGAAGTGGGTTGCCATGCCCTTCAGGGGATCTTCCCGACCCAGGGATCGAACTCGGGTATCCTTCATTGCAGGTGGATTCTTTACTGTCTGAACCACCAGGGAAGTCCCTAAATACAGACTGTGATGGGACTAAAAAAAACCTGGAATGTTAGTATCTATGCAGCAGAATTTTGCAACTGCAGACAGAAAACTGATTGCATATATGTAGAAGGCCATAGAAAGCTGTATAAAAATTTTAAAGAAATACATTTATACCTGAATTGCAAAGTATTTAAAACCCTATTTTGTGTTTAGGAATAGTTTGCTGTGGCAGGAGCATTCAAAGACCCATCCAACTTAGAACCTATGATATATGTGATTGTGAAGCATGTTCAGTAGTGTGTGATGGTTATAGAGCCTGCTGTAGTGTTTTATTTAACTGTTTACCCCTCAAACTGACCAGATATGATCTTTTGGAAATTCTGCTATTCTATAGTTTCTTCCACATTCTTGTTGTATAGCATTGGCAAATATAGTGGTTACAATCTGTGCCTTCCAAACTGTTTGTGATGAAGGACCCTTGAATTGTGGAAGGGGTCTCTAAGGATCTATCACTGAAAAAGGAATTTAGGGTAGATATCAAAGGAAGACACATTACAGACTCTTTGCTTGGGTATGCACTGGAGTGGGCAGAAGGCAAAAGGTAATACAGATCATAAATGGTTTGAAAGGTAACTGTAGCCTTGGCTAAGTTTAAACCACTTAAGGGATCCTCAGCGCCCAGACCTTTGTCAGTTCATAATATATGGTGATAAATAAGCAACAGGCAAATTATACACATACTTAACAAAGTAGGAGGGGCATTTCTATGTTTTTTTGTGGAAATAATTTCATTTTTGGTATTTAAATTATTGAAATTATCCTTATGAGAAAATGAGAAATTTACTGGAATGAACTACTCTCATATAGAATTGTCTATGTGTGAGAGAGGAAGACACCATCATCCTTTGAATAATTAGGGTCTCCATAGGACTTAGGCTAGCTCTGGTAATTGGTAAAGAAAATGTACTGGCTCCTCGCTGCTAGTCCAATGAATGTCAGTTTTCTGGGGATCTCAGCTCATTTGGCAGAATTCCAGCTGGCTGTGCTGGATTGTATGGTCTTATCAACCAAGATATACAAAAGGAGCTGTATGCAGCTCACATTCCTACCCTGTACTCAGCTGTGCCTATTAAAGCATTCTTTACAAAGAGAGAGGTGTGTTGAATTACAGGATTGCTGTGTCAGAAGCTTATCCTTGGCTTTGGGGGAGAATACTAGGGTCATAATACATACCAGCAACCATACGGTCACCTCTTTGCATGGTTTATCTGCAAAGGCACTGAGTGAAATAACCTCTAATGAGGCAGAGTAAAAATAATCTCTGAAAAGTTTGAGATGGGGAAGAAGTCTGCATTTATTACTACTCTATCTTGCACACAGAAGCAGCCCACAATTAACATTTGTTGCATAATTTTCCTAATTATTATTTGTTTACTAAGTAATGGGAAGATCAGGGCACTGGGTTTCCCCTCTCTGTGCAGAGCATTCAAAAGGACCATGAAGACACTTTTTCTTCCCTCGCTCTCCACACTCTTCTCTTAAAGAAAGTCATTTCCAAAAGTAAAAAAGAAACATTTATGGATATTATTTTCTCTTTTCTGTTTGATTAGTGTCTAAAATGAAAGTTAGTGTTTGGCTGTGGTCTCTGATAACCACCTTTTCCTTCAGTCTGAATGAAGTTGCTCTTACTATAGAAATCTCTAAGGATTTTCATGTGATGATGAAGAGGATGGTGGTAAAGAGGCGCAAAATGTATTACTTAGTTTTGAGGCCATGCCTATGTGTGAATTAAATTTTGCATCATGTTTTCAGGATTTCAAATAATAAAGTCACTTTCCTTCAAGGAGTACTTGGGTTGCAGAAATATTGTTACCTTTACAACATTCAGTTCAGTACAGTTCAGTTGCTCAGTTGTGTCTGACTCTGCGACCCCATGGACTGCAGCACACCAGACTTCCCTGTCCATCACCACCTCCTGGAGTTTAATCAAAACTCATGTCCATTGAATCGGTGATGCCATCCAACCATCTCATCCTCTGTCGTCCCCTTCTCCTCCCACCTTCAGTCTTTCCCAGCATCAGGTCTTTTCAAATGAGTCAGTTCTTCGCATCAGATGGCCAGAGTATTGGAGTTTCATCTTCAGCATCGGTCCTTCCAATGACTATTCAGGACTGATTTCCTTTAGGATGGACTGGTTGGATCTCCTTGCTGTCCAGGGACTCTCAAGAGTCTTCTCCAACACCACAGTTCAAAAGCATCAATTCTTCTGCACTCAGCTTTCTTTATAGTTCAACTCTCACACCCATACATGACTACTAGAAAAACCATAGCTTTCACTAGATGGACCTTTGTTGGCAAAGTAATGTCTCTGCTTTTTAACATGCTGCCTAGATTGGTCGTAACTTTTCTTTCAAGGAGCAAGTGTCTTTTAATTTCATGGCTGCAATCACCATCTGCAGTGATTTTGGAGCCCCCCAAAATAAAGTCTCTCACTGTTTCCACTGTTGTTCCATCTATTTGCCATGAAGTGATGATACCAGATGCCATGATCTTAGTTTTCTGAATGTTGAGTTTTAAGCCAGCTTTTTCACTCTCCTCTTCCACTTTCAGCAAGACACTCTGTAGTTCTTCTCTTTCTGCCATAAGGGTGGTGTCATATGCATATCTGAGGTTATTGATATTTCTCCTGGCAATTTTGATTCCATCTTGTGCTTCACCCAGCCCAGCATTTCTCATGATGTACTCAGCATATATGTTAACTCAGAAATAGTTTGTCTTCTCATCAGTTGTTTTTCCTTTTTTTTTTTGGGGGGGGGGGGGGTTGTACTGGGTCTTGTTGCTGCACTTGGGCTTTCTCTAGTTGGTGTGAACCGGGGCTACTCTTCATTGCAGTGGGTGGGTTTCTCACTGTGGTGAGAAGCCACTGCGGTGGCTTCAGTAGTTGTGGCTCCGGCCTCTAGGCCTGTGAGCTCAGTAGTTGTGCAAACACAGGCTTAGTTGCTCTGTGGCATGTGGTATCTTCCCAGACCAGGGATTTAACCCATGTCCTTTGCACTGGCAGGCAGATTCTTAACCAATAGGCCACCAAGGAATTCTTTATCAGTTCTCAATCCTTCCTCATATGTCTTAACTTCCTTTTCTAACAATACTTCCTCCAAATATCTTGTATTATCCCCTTCATTTAGTCAGTCTGAGTCATTTGCCTTTCCCGCAGTCATTCTTATACTTTCTGTTCAGGTTGTCTCTTTTCCCCTCAGAATGCCCAGAATTCATTTTTAAGTCATTCATTCAGTGATGTGTATTGAGCACGTACTGTGTGCCAGCAAATGAAACACAGAGGTCCCTGCTCTTGTGGAGCTTATGTTCCAGTGTGGGGGGGGGGACAGGTAATAAATAATAAATAGGTATATAGTATGTCAGAAAGTGATTAGTGCTGTGGCAGGAAAGAAAACATCATGATAAGTAAGGGTGACTGAGAATGCTGGAGCAGGGTGTGGTGATGGGGAAGAATGGTGAAGTGGCAGGAAAGGTTGCAATTTGAAAGGGGCTGGTCAG